AGCTAATAGTGAGACCCAGCCTCAAGAAGAACAACAGAAAATTCCTCCCAAAGCTTTTTGTTGTTGTCTTTTGTTTTTTGAGACCAGCTTTTTCTGTGTAATAGTCCTGGCTGTCCTTGAACTAGCTCCCTAGATGAAGTTGGCCTCAAACTCAAGATCCACTTGCCTCCTGAGTGCTAAAATAAAGAGCATGTGCTACCACAGCCCGGCCCCAAATCTTTGTGTTTGTTTTTGTTTTTTTTGAGACGGGATTTCTCTGCATTGCTTTGGAACTTGCTCTGTAGACCAGGCTGACTTTGAACTCGCAGAGATCCTCCTGCCTCTGCCTCCCGAGTGCTGGGATTAAAGGCATGCATGCGCCACCCACCCCCGACTTCCATGTCTTCCTGACTTGGATCCTTTTAGCTCTGCTTCCTCCAGAGGGAACGCCCTTCTGTAAGCTTTGTCTTTTCTCCTGAAGCCTGCTGAGGTCACCAAAGCAGCCAGCACACAAGACCACTGTGGCTGCATTCCATGGCATCCCAGGCAGTTCACTTCCTGGAGGCAGGAAAGGGCTCTGCACCAGGCCCTGTTTCTTGGGTTTCCTCTTTTCTTCTGGAGAGGAATGAAGTAGAAGAGCATGCTTTCCTGGAATCAGGAATTTAACTCAGTCTGGCTGAAGTATCTGACTTTCTAAAACATTTCGTTTTGCACTATCTAAAATCCCAGCATTGATAGGAAAGGTAAATAAATCACATTTAAATGAAGATTGGACTGTGTGGCTTCCAGAGCCTCTCAGAATTCTGGAGTCTATGAGATGTTAGCCCCGGAATGCCTTATCATTATGGCGCACACAGTCCTGTTTTGGAGAGCAGTATCGGGGAACATGGACTTTGGAGTTACATCAGAATTGAAATTCCAGGCATTTTCTGGTGTGGTGATATAGAGATAATTTTAGCCCCTGTCTCTTTCTGTTCAGAGTCTTACCATGTTGGCTTGGTACTTAGTATGTAGCCCATGGTGGTCTCAAACTCATAGCAATCCTCCTGTCTCGGCCTCCTGAGTTCTCTGATTACAAATGTGTATAACACTCGAACCTTCTGTTTCTCTTCCTACAGTACAAAGCCTTCAGAGCTTTAAAGGGTAAATAAAACAGGTAGGACTTTACTATTAAAAAAAAAAAAAAAAAAGAACTACATAGTGTGGGAGCGTCTAAGAAAAAAATTTTCTTAACACAGAATCTCCCTATTTAAGCTGGCCTGGAACTACGTGTAGTCCCAAATGGCCTAGACCTCACAAACATCCACAAGCCTCCATCTCCCTAGAATTAAAGATGTGTGCTTTGGGACCTAGTTTAAAGTATGTATTTAGGGCCGGGAGTTGTAGCACACGCTTTTTTGTTTGTTTGTTTGTTTGTTTGTTTGTTTTTCGAGACAGGGTTTTTCTGTGGCTTTGGAGGCTGTCCTGGAACTAGCTCTTGTAGACCAGGCTGGCACACCCTTTTAATAGCTATGAGCCTGAGACCAACCTAGAATTGAGGCTCTCCATCTTGCTTTAGAGGGAAAAAAAAGTGAAAAGGGAGAGAGAGAGAGATGAGAAAGAGAGAGAATGATTATTCAAGAGACCAACCTAGAATTGAGGCTCTCCATCTTGCTTTAGAGGGAAAAAAAGTGAAAAGGGAGAGAGAGAGAGAGATGAGAAAGAGAGAGAATGATTATTCAGGATCCAAGAATGGTGAACTTTCATGCAAATTCCATCAAAAACAGACCCTCTTGGAACCAGTTTCATGACTAAAAACTACAGTATGTGGCCTGATTGCCCAAGACTTGAATGTGTTTACTGCATTCCTTTAGGCAAATTGAAACCAGATTGATCCAAACTGATATTAGTATTTTGCTTTTCTAACTGTAGCAAAGTATAAATTACTTCACTTAAACATGAAGATATCCATATGAGTCATCCTAACATAATTTTCTCTCATTATACTACACAGAAGAAATTAAGGAAAACAAATATTTATCCACACTGAACATTAAAACCAGACTGCTGTGTAACTGTAGAATTGTGCTGGTAACTCTTACAACAGGCTTTGTGTGTGGGACAAGGACCCAGTACACACTTGTGTCTCCTTATGTGATTCGAATGTCAGCTGTTTTACACAGACTTTGTTGTTTTGTTTTTGGTTTGAAACAGGATCTCACTACATAGCTTTCGCTGGCCCGGAACTCCCTCTGTAGACCAGGCTGACCTCAGCTTACAGGTCACAGCTTCCTCTGCCTCCTGAGTGCTGGAATTAAAGCTGCAGGGTACCACCTTGTGCTCAGCTTGTTTTAGTCAGCCAAGGCTGTGCATGACAAGTATGTAGACATCAGGACAGCTTTGTCACACACACTTTTTTTTTTTTTTTAAGAGTGTCTCACTATATAGCCTTGGCTGGCCTGAAATTCATTATGAAGAGCAGGCTAACTTCTGTCTTTCTATCTATACATGAGTTCCAAAGATTGAACTCAGGCTGGCTTATGTTTTGGTTTTTCGAGACAGGATTTCTCTGTGTAGCCTTGGTTGTTCTGGAACTCACTCTGTAGACCATGCTGGCCTTGAACTTAAAGAGGTGTGTGCCACAGCCACCTGGCCCTGAACTCAGGTTGTTAAGCTTGCAAGGTTACCAAAGGAGCCACTTTTGCCTACCTAAGTCTATCCATAATATCTCATTTTTAATGAAATTTTATTTATTTATTTATTTATTTTTAATGTGCATTGGTGTTTTGCCTTGTGTGTCAGGTCCCCTGGAACTACAGACAGTTGTGAGCTGCCATGTAGGTGCTAGGAATTGAGCCAGCAGGGTCTTCTGGAAGATCAGTCAATGCTCTTAAGCACTGAAACCCTGTCTCAGAAGAAAAAAAAAACCAAAAAACCAAAAAACCAAAAAAAACCCAATATGTATAATTATTATTATCAACTTAATTTCGGTGTGTTCAAAGATACTCTATGCTCAACATTCTTCACCCCCAGGATCACTTTATACTGCATAAGTGATCTTCATTGTGTAACATAAAGGAAGTCGGGATGAGAAAGCAAACAGAAGGAAGGCAAAGTCCATGGTTTGGGGTAAAGTTATAAGGATTTTAGGGATTTTAAGAAGAGCAGTTAGTCAAGACCTGTCAGTTCTGATGGAACACAATGGTGTATGACTGGGTGCCCTGTATTAATATTCTTGAGATGCTCAGGCTGTATTGCTCAGACTGTTACTTGTAATCCTCCTGCCTCAGCCTCCCGAGTGCTAGAATTCCATGTCTGTTACCACACTGACATGCTGTGTTTAAATTTGAGCTCTGTGACTGACTTAAACTCTCTGTGTTTTCTTTTTCTTATTTACTTTTATTTTGTTTTTCTAGACAGGGTTTCTCTGTACAGCCCTGCCTGTCCTACAACTCATTCCGTAGATCAGGTTGACTTTAAACTCACAGAGATCTGTCTGCCTCTGCCTCCTGAGAGCTCAGATTAAAGGCATGTGTCACCATCTCTCAGCCTTCTTATTTGTTTTTTAATTTTATTTACTTTTATGTGTATCTGTGTGCATTTGCCTGAGAGTACATGTACCATATACATACAGAAGCCTGAGGAGGTCAGAAAAGAGCATTGGATCCCCTAGAACTGGAGTTACAATTGTGAGCCAGCACGTGAGTGCTGGGAACCACTCCAGTCCTCTGCCAAAGCAGCAGTGCTTTTAACTGCTGAGCCCTCTTTCCAACACCTAGTATTCTTATTTGTAAAACGAGAATGCACCAGTTGGTGGTGGTGCACGACTTTAATCCCAGCATTTGGGAGGTAGAGACAGGTGGATCTTGATGAACTTAAGGGCAGCCTTAAATTCACTACAGAGTGAGTTCCAGGACAGCCAGTGTGGTTACACAGAGAAACCCTGTTTCAAAAAACACAACAAAACAAAATAATAAATAAAATGAGAATGGAAACATCTTTTTATAGAGTTAATATGAGAATGAAGTTGAGATAAAATGTATAATATATTTAGAGGTTTGGGGTCAGGGAAGGAAAAAGCTAACTGTAGTGCCTGTTGCTGGGCGTTGGTGGTGCATGCCTTTAATCCCAGCACTCGGGAGGCAGAGGCAGGCGGATCTCTGTCTCCAGAACTAGTGCCAGGATAGGCTCCAAAGCTACACAGAGAAACCCTGTCTCGAAAAACAAAGACAAACAAAAAAACAAATAAACAAAACAAACAGTGCCTGTTACATGATGTTTCAGTAAATGATAGCTACTTCTATTGTTCTCTCTCTCTCTCTCTCTCTCTCTCTCTCTCTCTCTCTCTCTTTTTGGGGGGGGTTTCTAGACAGGGCTTCCTGTATTGCTTTGGCGCCTGTCCTGAAACTCTCTTTGTAGACCAGGTTGGTTTCGAACTCACAGAGATCTGGCTGCCTCTGCCTCCCGAGTGCTGGGATTAAAGGCATGTGCCACTACCTCCTGGAGTTCTCTCTCTTTCTAAAACAAGGTTCATGTATGCCAGGCTGGGAGAACTTGAACTTATCCCTCCAGCTGAGGGGTAAGATTGCAGGGATGTACCACCAGCCTGTGTGGAAGTCTGTGAAGTTGTTTCCAGATTTCTGTGATTCTCAGGGGTTTCTTATCTTTTCACATCCCTTGGTTGGTACTTAGCCTGGGCACAAAGTATTTGCTTCACAATTATTATTTGTTGATTTTGACAAAGTCCTTACGAGCAGCTGCCTCTGTGCCACTTATATTCAACATCTTGCCCTGAGAGGGAAAAAAAAAAGTACTTCATATACTGATGAACCTGCCCGCTTTAACTACTTGTTAGCTTTAATTAATTTGGCCATGATGATTTAGATCAGTGGTCTTTCACCTGGAATCTTTGGCGTTAACAATAACCTCGTGACTGAACTCAGTCACTAATAGATCATATTTGGCTTGAGTTCTGCCCTTTTGGCAGCAAGGTAAAAATACATTTCCAGTGCAGGTTACATGAGCCCCAGCCTCTCCTACAGTGCTGTCTTCCCTTATTTATTTTTTCATTGCTAATACAAATGGAGTTACAATCAATAACTGCTTTTGTGACACGTACCATCCCATTTACAAGGCAACAAAGCAGATTGACACATAAACAGCTTAACACCAGAAATGAAGCAAACTATAAATATCTTTTGGAACAGAATTCTGAAATGCTTTGCGTACAACATAACATAACAACAAAAACACCCATTTTACTATTTTACAGATTTACGTTTGGCTTATATATTTTATTGAAATGGTTACTCTTTGAATGTCCACATTCTTCCATCTGCATTTTCTTCTTACAAGCTTTTTTTTTTTTTTTTTTTTGGCTTCTGTCCATCAGTTTTTGTTTTTTTGTTTTTTTCTTTACTGTTTGTTTCACATTAAAGACTCAGTCAGCTTGGTTTGCAATGTCAATGGAATAAGGTGGCTCTCACTTTATCTTCAACCCACACTCTGTCTTATTGAAACCTGAATGTCTGATTCAAATGGAAGGGAGTCTGCCATTGCTATGACTTCAGTGCCTTATCTCTCAGAATTCTCAGCTCCTCGTACAATCTGTTTGTGTATATGCTGTAGTTTTCCACTGGGAATTGAATCTCAAAGGATTTTGGTTATTCAATGGCATTAGTCCCCCATAACACACTTAAATAACTGGGATTTCCTTTTCAGACAAAGGGGTCTGATTCCTGCTCTGAAAGCATGGACAGGAAGCCTGATGCTCAAAGCCAGGAAACAGTGAGAAAATTGCTAGTGACCCAGCTGCAGCCTTCATTGTAAGCTTGTTTGGCTCAGGGACTCCAGGAAGGAGAATTCTCAGAATTACATAGCAGAAGAGACATGTTGCCTGGATACCATCCTCCAGGAAGAATAAAAATGTAGTCAGAGTAAAGGGCTTAAAAAAAAAAAAATCCTACAATGAGATAAGAGTTAGTATAAGAAGCATTTCAAATATGCCAATTTTCTCAAATGAACAGACATTCGTTTTATTCCCCCAATGTCTCTTATTTCTACCTCTCTCAAAGAAGACAAAACTCAGGTTAGGATCGTCACTTTAGCATGCATGAAGCCCACCCAAACAAACCCGGACAAATTAACACAAGCATCATTTCCCAGGCACTTTAGAAGGAAATGTATGTATATTCTTCGAGGGTACTCTTATTCGAGCTTAACGTAGGAATAAAAAGCCAGAGAAATGGGGCAATATTGAGCATCACCCTTTCCCCTGCCAGCATCTGAGAGCCACTCCAGAGACTGCTTCATCATGGTAGCTGCTGCTTCCTTTTTCCTCTAGCCTTTGCCCTGGTCAACAAAAGGAAATACTTTGCTCCACCCACCATGACCTGGTGACTTTGCCTTGTGCCTTGAAGGGCTAATTTAGGTTTAGCAGCTATGCTGGAGGTACCCTTCTCAAAATTGTTGAAAAGGCAAGTTACTTAGCGGGGACTGGCTGCTTTTTGTTTTTTGTTTTTTGTTTTTTTTCTTTTTAAATTTCTTGGGCACCTTTCTTCTCCCATGTATGAGTTTTGCTGGTGAATTCTTTCTCCTAACTCTTTCCTAAATGCCAACAACAAAAAAAGACATTAGTGGAACCCTCTCCCTCCACCCACTTGTTTTTCTCACCACCTGCTTGCTAATGGTAGTTTGTGTTCCTTCCAGCCCACAGCTACACTTTTCTGGGAGGCTAAGACTGGGAAGAAAGACATTGTGGTTCAGCCTCTCAGTGGAGAATAATGGGGCACAGATTTTCAAAGGCTTTAGGAAATGATCTCTGAAAATTGAAGGTCTAGAATCACCAAAGGTCCTATATTCACATCCTTCTGAAATGAAAGAAACAGGAATCTCCACGTTTGGGCCAGTATTAAATGTCCCTTGACCTACTCAGGGAAAGGTCTAATTTCCCTCTCTATTCCAATCGGTCTTGAAATTCTGGTTTCACGTGTTCTCCAAAAGAGGAGCAGGAAGTGATGTGCAAGGCAGTCTTCCCACTTCCTTAAGAGACTTTCTCTAGAGGATTCTTTCCCCAGGGACATTCTTTAAGTGACATGTAGTGAATATTTGTCTCTTCTAGAAAAATCCAGAAGAGCAGTCTTTAGGGGCGTCAGATTTGAGTAATGACCCACAACTGCCCCATGATATATTTTTGATGTCTGATAGCAGTCCTCTCAAGATCAAAATGCAAAGTTCTTCACAGAATCATGCCCCATCTTGGTTGGACTCTTTTCTTAGTTATTATTTTTAGGGTTCCACAGAAATAGGAAGGTTGGTTGTAAATAAGGAAAGTGAAACGGAATCATTTTTCTCTGTCTCCCACTATTTCAGATCCTCCCCAAATTAATGTTCAAACCTTATGATCCATGAAGTCAAGTCAATGTAGAAAAAAATTGTGTTTCCTTTGTTTTTTTTGTTAATGTGAGTTTCTTAGAAGCAGTTGTCCCAGTACATGTTGCAGAGAGGTGTAATATAAGGCTGTGGGTTTCTGTTTTGACTATCTGAATAATCACACTAATCCAATACATTTGCAGAAATGAATAGAAAATTGATCTATGAGATTCCCATTTCTTCTTGACTCTGGGTGACTTGCAACATTCCTAGGTAAGATGTTTCAGGTGTATGCAACCTCACCTCTCCCTTATTTTCACCACAAGTCCTGGTCGGCAAAATAGGTTTGGGCCTCTCCTTCCCTCCACCTCTGCTCTGAAGGCACAGTGAGGTGCCTTTTTAGAGATGACCAGCCTACATCCTTTGCTTGGTGTCCTATAAGGAAGGTGAGCATCAGAACTTGCCCGTGCCATGTTGGCAGCTACTTAAGTGAGTTCTTATCTGGCTGAGGGGCTTGTGTGGCTGGTGAAGGAGCTCCGGTGGCTAGGCTGAGATCCTGACTTCTGGAAAAGCGCAAGTCAAGTCCACTGTGATTCAGACAGTTTGGAAGGCTTTGCTCTGGCTGGGGATTGTGCTGAGTGTGGTTTCTGCTTTGGTCAGGGTCGTGTGGTGCACTTTCTTTGGTTCAGAACCTCTTGCTTCTGGTCCTATTAGGCTGTACGCCTGGGTGGCTAGCCCTTGCTGGGGCGCTGCTTCACTGGATAGTGTCCTCTGGCTTCTGGAGGCGCTGTTCCCTGTGGAGCGGGTGGAGGAAGAGCCAGATCGTGAGCTCCTGGAGCCAGAGGAAGAGGAGCTAGGCTTCACAAGGCGGGCTCTGGGGGCTTCTGCGTCTTCTCTGGGAGGGAAAAAGGAACAGAAAGGAAAGATAAACTTTAGTACTGCCACGGGTGTGATGATTCTCACTAAAGTTACTTCCTCCTGAGATTTTTTTTTTTTCTTCAATAAATTCCTCAAGCCAAAAACCTTGGAAGGCAGCCAGTTAAGGAACTAAGCATTTCCTTGTTTTGTAAGACTTAATGCTCAGTTTAGGAAGATGTTTGTTGTGTGACAGCCAGAGGTCCAGCCAGTTGCACCAGAAGGGTATGGCCCCAACATGAGATGGTCTGGATAGAATTGTCTTGATTTGCAGTCTATGTACTTAAATCCTTTCATGTCCTGTAGGCTATACCATCCTTTATTATATACCCCTTTTAAGTGGGAATGAATCAGAAGTAAAGTTGAGAATTATGCTGCTTGATTGTTAGCTTGACTCAAGGTAGAGTCACCTGGAAAGAGGGGGGCTCAACGGCAAAATCATCTGTCAGACTGGCCTTTTGGCAAGTCTGTAGGGCATTTTCTAGATTAATGACTGATGTCAGAGAGCACAGCTCACTGTGGGTGGGGCCACCCTCGGTGGATGAAGCTAGTTATGTAAGAAAGCAGGCTGAGCAAGCAATGAGGAGCAAGCCAGTAAGCACCCTCTCTATCACAGCCTCTGCTTCAGTTACCAACCCCAGGATCTCGCCTTGAGTTCCAGCCCTGACTTTCCTTTGTACTGGACTGTGGCTGTAAGGGGAAGTAAACCCTTTTCTCCCCACACTGCTGCTATTGGTCATGATGTTTATCACAGCAACAGAAAACAAGCCAGAATAAGGACAGTTTCTCAATAAAGTGAGTCACACCTTCTATCCCTGGACTGTAATTTCCTACCTGCCAGAATAGCCCTTTGAAGAGATCCACAGTGCGGAGGGAATGAGCAATTTTTATATTGACTGGTTACTATGCAACTGACCTGGAAAGGGGTTTCGGAGAAGTAGGGAAGCTTACCGAATCTCATTGGGTCTCTCCTCCTCCTCATATCTCTCCTTGCTTTTCCTGCGGATTAGCAGCCATATCAAGAGGAAAATGAGCAGAGCTCCAGCCACTATGCCCGTCACTGCTCCTGCTACCATGCCGATGCTTTGCACATCTGTTTTCTCAGAAGCACAGACAGAAGTAAAGTCAAACATAAGCTAGGAGATGCATGGACTCTCAAGACAGAAGCACTGGACAGGACAGCTTCTAGCACCACACTCCATGACCCTCCTGTTATGTGGCTGTGCCTTTCCATATTCTCCCCTCCCCCTTCCAGGGTTTCACAGTGTAACCCTGGCTGTCCTAGAAGTGGCTCTTCAGACCAGGTTGGCCTGGAACTCACAGAGAGCCACCTGCCTCTGCCTCCCGAGTGCTGGGATTAAAGACATGCGCCACCACCGCCTGTTTCTTTTCCATATTCTTGCAAACTGTAGTTACTGAAGACAGAAAGGGTGGGTAAGTTTTTGTGTCCTGTTTAAAAACATTTCAACTCTAGCTCTGCCCACACCCCTTTCTCTAACTTCCCCTTTCTACTGGTAAAATAAAATAGAATATAACCTACATCATACAATACTGAGTGTGATTGATTACTTGTAGTTTTCAAACTCAGAATGCAAGGTAAATTTAATTTTCATATTAGTAATATAAATGCTCTCATTTAAATATGAAATTTGCTAAATATGTATTATTAAGCGCCTACCTTAAGCCAGGCAGTTCTAGGTGTGATACAGATCGATAAAAGTTTTTATGTTGGTGTATTTGCACTCAAGAAAAGGGAAAAATAAACAAAGAAGTAGATACAAATAATTTTAGACAGTGAATATGAGAGCAAAAGCGGATGTCTGGCAATTTGGAGGGAGAACAGAGGAACACAGTTTCAGTTTGGGCAAGCAGGACTCTGATGAAGTGGTGTTTGAGTTGAAATACAAATGACAGGACTACCTTATGGTGAACTAGACATAGAGAACTCCAGGCAGAAGGTATAGTGGGTGTGATGAATGTGAATCCATCTGGAGAACAGTGAGCAAGGGAAAGAGCAGGGAGATGAAGTCACAGAGACAGGAAGGGACCAGCTCCCATGGGGCCTAATGGGCCATACAATCATTTTATTATAGAAGCAATAGAAGAGTTACATGGTTCAAGTTACACTTAAGAAAGCACACTATAGCAGTTTGAGTGAAAATGGAGGGCTTCAAGGAAAGGAAAGAAAGTAAGGTTATGAGTTAGGATGCTTCTAACTGTGCAAACTGGAGATGATGGTGCGTGTGCTAGGCTGAACTTAATGGGTTTAGAAGCAGGTACAAGGGTACCGCTTCAATTTGGAAAGTGTTGTCAACTCTTCTGAAAGTGCTATTTACTCTTCTGCTTATCTTTATAAACTAAATGGCCTCTTACTAGAAAAATTTACCTTTTATCAATTTCCCCCTGAGACAGGGTCTTGGGTGGCCTGGAATTCACTGTGTAAACCAGGCTGTTCTCATCCTTACTGAAACCCTCCCACCTCTGCTTCCCCAGTGCTGGGGAAGTTAATGGTGTACACCACTACACCTGGCAAAAAAAAAAAAAAAATGTGTTTTGAAGAAATTGGAGTTTAGATATCTCTAGGTTCTTAAAAGGCTGGGTTTTATCTAATTTTATCATTACATTTTATTTATTTATTTCATACGCCTGTGTGCCTTTGTAAGTGTATGCAGAGGTCAGAGGACACCTGCATGAATCTCTTCTCTCTCTCCATCATGTGATTTCTTGCAATCAAATTAAAATCATCAGGCTAGGCAGTAAACACCTACTGCTGAGTCATCCCATTGGCTTTTGGGGTTTATTTCATGTGAACAAATTCAGCTCAATAATGTTCTTTTCCTTATGGTCCCACCACCAATAACAATCTGAATGAATTATCTACTAACAATTTAAAGTTGTTTCTTACTTTTTCTACAATTAAAATAATATTTTATTAATTTCCATGTTTGTTTACATACTTTGGGAATAATTCCAAAGGGTAAATTCACAGAATGTTGCTGGATACAATGGAATCTATTTTTCTGTCTAATTTTTTTAAGATTAATTTATTATGTATAGTGTTCTGCCTGCATGTATCCCTGTAGGCCAGAAGAGGGCACCAGACTACATTACAGATGGTTGGGAGCCACCATATGGTTGCTGGCAATTGACTCAGGACCACTGGAAGAAACGGGCAGTGCTCTTAACCCCTGAGCCATCTCTCCAGACCCCTTTTCTGTCTACATTTAAATGGAATGAATAACTGGCATAGTGGCACATGCCTATAATTCCAGAATTTTGGAGGCAAAGGCAGGAGAACTTCTGTGGCATTGAAGCTATATAGGAAGTCTATTGAAGCCATGGGTTGCACAGTGAGCCCTGTCTCAGTAATAACTAATATATATTAATAAAACACATTAATAGAATGGATTAGTAATTGTGGCATACCTGCACAACAAAACACTACATAATAACAAGAATGCCCAGTTGGTGGAAAACACCGCAATTTTAGCATTTTGGGACTTGTGGCTGGAGGAATGCCCAAGTTTGAAGCTAGTGTGGTTTTCTAGCAAGTTCAAGGCCAACATCAGGTACATAGTGACGGTGATGGTGCACACCTTTAATCCCAGCGATAGGGTTTCTCTGTGTAGCCTTGGCTGTCCTGGAACTCACTGTAGCCCTGGCTGCCCTTGAACTCCCAGAGATCTTGCCTCTGCCTTCAGAGTACTGCATTAAAGGATGTGTCACCATCGCCAGGCTAAAAAATGACTTTTGAGTAATTGTTTCATGTAGCCTAGACTGGCCTCAAATTCTTTATGTAAGAGAATGACATTGGACTCCTGATCTTTTCCACCTCCACTTCCAAGGTATTGAGATGACAGGGCTGGCTAAAGAACCATTTTATTGCTGTTATTGCTGTTGTTGCAATACATGACCTTTCTGAGAACTGGTATTATTATGTGTGTGTGTGTGTGTGTGTGTGTGTGTGTGTGTGTGCTTGAGACAGGGCCTTGGGTTTATAGCCCTGACTGACTTTGAGTCCAGGATCCTCCCGACTGCTGAGATTATAGGTACCCAGCTGGCACTATTTATTTATTTATTTATTTATTTATTTATTTATTTATTTTCACTGACATGATAGCCTCAAATAAAAAAGGTGGACCTTCATGCAGGAGGCAGAAGCAGTTGGATATCTTTGAGTTCGAGGGCAGCCTGGTCTACAGAGGCAGTTCCAGGACAGGCTTCAAAGCTACAGAGAAACCCTGTCTCACCAGGCGTTGGTGGTGCACGCCTTTAATCCCAGCACTTGGGAGGCAGAGGCAGGAGGATCTCTGTGAGTTCGAGGCCAGCCTGGTCTCCAGAGTGAGTGCCAGGATAGGCTCCAAAGCTACACAGAGAAACCCTGTCTCAAAGAAACATACCCTCCCCCACCTGGCCTAAAAAGGTGGACTTCAATTGATATGACGGGCTGCTTGTAGTTTTTCTGTGAAGACCTTGTTAAATTTCTAAGATAACTGATACTTGGAAGAATAGAAGTCCACTTCCTGACCCTTTGTAACCCTGTGACAATTTACAGACCTCTGTGCAGCAGGAAGAGATGTGATTCCTACTTGGGTTAAACAGGTGATCCCAGAGACCACAGCCTGTGATTTTGTAGAACGTTAACTATTTTGCTGCCTACCCCAGCGATCTTCACAATCTCCCAGTTAAAGTGTCTTTGACCCTAATCTAAGGTTTCAAACTGCTCTTTGGACCAGTTGCAACATCTTAGCAGCTCCTCCTTTAACTAGTAAAGTAGTTTGTGTGTGTGTGTGGTGGGGGTGGGTGGGTATGCACGTGCCACTGTATCCTCGTGTGGAGGTCATAGGACAACTAGAGGGAGTTGGTTCTTTCCACCATGTCAGTCCTGGGCACAGAACTCAGGCTTGGTGCCAAGAGCCTTTATCTGCTGAACACTCTTGGCAGCCCATGCTCACTTCCAGTAAATAAAATACACATCTGAGGCTTTGTTTCTACAGAATCCCTGCACTTCTCAGTTCTCAAGTCTCTAGATCTCGAACTTTAGGTCAGCCAGCAGCCACAGGGAGCCATTGTAGAGGGCTAGCCTCCAGCATCCAGGGCTTCTTCTGATGGATGCAGCACAGATGACACACTATGCAACCTCTCCTGAGGAGACAGTGAGCCCGAATTCCTAGCCAGGCCACTCTTGAATTTCTGACTTACAGAAACTGAGAGTCAGAAGTTTTAAGTCACTAAATTTAGGGTAATTTGTTCTGTAGAAATAGATATAAGTATTCAGGTTGGTTTTATTTTATAACTCCGCCCTCCCCCCAAGGGTTGGTAATCCCCAAGATGAAAGTGCTGCTACTATACCATTGAAGATATTTTGGCAGGATGTAATTTTTATGGTTTATAAGCCTTAGAGCTGGTTAAGACTGTTGATTGCTTTTCTCTTTTGTCACATTTATTTATTTATTGTTTTGATGTAGGGTCTCACTATGTAGCCCTGGCTGTCCTGGGGCTCATTATGTAGACCAGGCTGGCCTCAGACTCAGAGATCCTCCTGCCTCTGCCTCAAGTGTTGGGATTAAAGGAGTGCACCACCACACCTGGCTCTTTCCTTTCCTTTTAAAAAATGTTATTGTCAGTGGGTGATGGTGGTGCAGGCCTTTAATCCCAGCACTCAAGAGGCAGAGGCAGATGGATCTATGTGAGTTCAAGGCCAGCCTGAGCTACAGAGCTAGTTCCAGAACAGCCAAGGCTACGAAGAGAAACCCTTCTCAGAAAACTAAAAAAAAAAAAAAAAAAAAAAAAAAAAAAAAAAAAAGTTATTAAGTGGCCCAAGCTAGCATCAAATCCACTATCCTCCTGTAATAGCTTCCCTGGTGCTAGGATTGCAGGGTACATCAAAACAAGTGACCTACTTTTTTGTTTTGATATTGGTTTTTTGAGACAGGTTCTTTTGTAGCCCTGATTGCCTCTAAACTTCTTGCCTGTAGTGGGGGGATGACCTTGAACTCCAGATTATCCTGTCTTCACTTAAACTCGGGAATTGTGTGTGCGTGTGAATCTCTAACCTCACCCTAGCTACATATGCTATGCAAGTGCTAGTCCACTGAGCCAGATTCCCAGCTTCATAGTTCAGAGAGCTGGCTAATTTACATTGGCAACCATACAGCCAGTCAAAATCATGTTCTTCTGGAAATAAAGACTTTGACCTCGTGATTAAAACATTTTATACTAAATTGTAATATAACAATAAAAATTTTAAATGAAACAAACAAAGAAAAAATCCCCTTTGGAAAGTCGGGGGTTTAGCTCTGTGGTAGAAAGCTGTCTAGCAAGCCCAAGGTGCTGGGTTTATCTCCATTCTAAAAGAAAGGCAACCCCGAGATACTCACACTGTACAGTCACTCGTACCATACAGCTTTCTTTTCCAGCCTCGTTGCCTGCTGTGCACTGGTAGAGACCAGAGGAGGCCATGGTGAGATTCTGCAGCAGCACTCGCCCAGGGTTGTTGTAATCTATACAAGAAGAAAGCAGGATGGTCAGTCTCCCCCATGACATGTCTGTGTTGTGCATCATTGACCTATGATGTCAAATGGTTTAATGGGATGAATGACAGAAAAGATCCTGTTTTGAAACATGGGAAATGGGTAAATATTATTTTAAATTGTTGTGCATCCTCAAGAGTTACCAAGGAGCTATGCGTTGGTGGTGCACGCCTTTAATCCCAGCAATTGGGAGGCAGAGGCAGGCGGATCTTGTGAGTTTGAGACCACAGAGTTAGATTGCCTCTAAACTTCTTGCCTATAGTGGGGGATGACCTTGAACTCCAGATTATCCTGTCTTCGATTGGAAATGAAGGGCCTGATGACTATTTGAGAGACTGAAGCAGGGGAATCACCCATTCATTGATGGTCTTTTGTTTGTTTGTTTTTCGAGACAGTGTTTCTCTGTGTAGTTTTGTAGACTAGGCTGGCCTCGAACTCACAGAGATCCTCCTACCTCTGCTTCCTGAGTGCTGGGAGTAAAGGCATGCCACCACTGCCCAGCAGCCCATTCATGGTCTAACAAGCTATAGAGTGAGCAACTTCTGGACAACTTCCTAGGATTCTGGGGATGGGGAGGGCAGGCAGGGAGCATGTACTAGGTCCTAGGTCCAATCCTCAGTGCAGAGCCAAGAGAAAAAAAAGATGAGAACATTCAATGAATACTAAACTGATTCATTTAGATAGAGTAGTTTAAGTGGTCTATCCTCCCACTTTCATATTTATGACATTTGAAGAAAGAAGTAGGGTTTTGTTGTTGTTCAAGTTTACAGATGAAGAAATAAAATTCAAGCGGTTTGACAGTAACCCAGTCATGTTGGCAAGTTCCTATAACCCTAGCAATTGGTTGACAGAGACAGTATAATCCAGAGTTCAAGACCACCTTTGGCTATGTAGCAAGTTCTATGCCAACCTTTATGACACACCTTGTCTGAAAAAACAAACAATAATAGCAAGAAAGGTTCACACTGGACATGGTGGTAGCATATGCTTGTAATCCTGGTACCTAAGGGGTTGAGGCTGAAGGATCAGTTGTTCAAGACCAGCTTGGTCTTGAACATAAAACCCTACATAAAACCCTACATCTGATCTTGGCCAAAGGTTGAGAGTAGACCTGTGCTGGTTAGTTTTTGATTATCACTTTGACACACCTGGGAAAAGGGAACCCTAACTGATTACATTGGGCTCTAGGTGTGTCTGTGAAAGATTGTCTTTTATTTATTTATACTATTTATTTTATTTTATGTACATTGGTGTTTTGCCTGCATGAATGTCTTTATGAGGGTATTGTATTCCCTGGAACAAGAGTTACAGACAGTTGTGAGCTGCCATGTGGGTGCTGGGAATTGAATCCCGGGTCCTCTGGAAGGGCAGTCAGTGCTCTTAACCACTGACCCATCTCCAACCCCGAAAGATTGTCTTGATTGATGGCTGATGTGGGAAGAAGGCCTGGGACACTACAGGTGGCACCATCCCTAGGTGGGAGGGCCCAGGTTGTGTAAGAAAGCTAGCTGAGCATACATAGAGAGAGAGAGCAAGTCGTTAAGTCGTATTCCTAACTCTAACCTGACCCTAACCCATTAACAGTTCCTGCTTGCAGGCTCTTGTCTTGACTTCCTGCTGACTTCTCAAAGATGGACTGTGACCTGGGAGTGTAAGATAACACAAACCCTTCCCTCTCCCGGCTGCTTTTGGTCATAATGTTTTATCACAACACCAGAAAAGCAATCTACGACAGGATGCTATGCTATATGAGGCCCCGCCTCAAAAACAACAAACAAACAAACAAACAAGCAAAAAACAAAAACCCCAAATCAAACCAAACCAGAGCGAACAAACCAATGACAGTCACACAAAAAGGAGATTCCTCAGCCTGGTCAAGGGCATCTGGCGAGCTGCTGGCCCGGCAGATTTGGAAGTCATGGACACTGTATTATATTTTTGGCCCCAAGGACTGACAGGAAGATGACTTACCAATTCTAGATCTGGGTGGCAGGTGTTCATCCTCTCCCTCCTTCTCCCGGATTCGCTGCCAATAATACACAATGGGCTTAGTTCCAGAGGCCGACTCACACTGCAGGGTCAGGTCGCTGCCCTCTGTCAGCTCTCCTTCTAGCTCACACTTGGGCTTGGATGGTTTCACTGGCAAAAAAAAATAAATAAATAAAAAATTAAAAAATGCGATTATTCCGAGATTCTCCTAGTGGTAGATTCAGTGGAAGAACTACAACCTGTCCAGCTGTTTATTCAGCCACCCATCTTGCCCACTTTGGCTCAGTTTTGAGTTGAAACTCATCTAGCCATGCTTCACCTCCTGAAGCCTGATCACCCTCTCCTCAGTATCCCTTAGCTGCTCCCAGCAGTGGTGGAACGTGCAGTGCCTCAGAAACCTCCATGCCACATCTCAAAAACAGACGATGTTATTTACTGGGAATTTTAGGAATGTTAAATATTATTTATTTATTTGGTTTTTCAAGACAGGGTTTCTCTATATTGTTTTGGAACCTGTCCTGGACTGGAACTCGTTCTGTAGACCAGGCTGGCCTTGAACTCACAGAGATCTGGCGCTCCCCCCCTCCCCCCCCCCCCCCCCCCCCCCCCCCCCCCCCCCCATCTCTAACCAGTGCTAGGATTAAAGTCGTGAGCCACCACCACCTGGCCTTACATATAATTTTTAACTGATATTGAAACAAGGATAGAAGATCAGTAGTTTGAAAGTAATTATTCAAATATTCAAAGGAAATATTCAAATATTAGAGGTGGTGTTTAAATTTTATAATGAGCTGCCATTGAAAAATCATAATTATGGGTCATTGAGATGGCTCAAGTGGGTAAAAGCACTTGCTGTGTGAGCCTGGAGTCCTGAATTCAGGCCCCAGAACCAACAATGGAAAGAGAGAAGGAGTGAGTCTGGAAAGTTGTCCTCTGACCTTTGCACGAAGGCTGTAGCACACGCATGTATACACATACACACATACACACACGCACATGCACACAATAAAATAAGTTAAAAAATTATAATTCTGTTTTCTTCTTTCATTATGGCTAAAATCTAGAACTTAAATGCTTCTTTGTGGGAACTGGACCAGGTGATGTCTAAGTGCACACTGCAAGAATTAAATAGGTGATTTTACTACCATCTGCAGCTAGATATGTTCCCTTGACACCTTATAAGATGCAGGCATTTATCTTGGGGTCCTACCTTACCTAGGACTTTTAGTATGACGTGGCTCCAAACATAGCGTCCTGAGTTCTTCACCTTGCAGGTGTATCGGCCTTCATCACTTGGCTTCAGAGGCTCAATCTGCAGGGAGGCATCTCCTGCCAGGAAGTTGGAAGCAAAGGCTACTCGGCCCCTCTGTTCCTCAGTCAAGTTATTGTAGACATGACGACTGGAGTAAGTAATAACCTAGCGAGACAGACAGAGGCAAAGTCAAGAGGTGGGACTTTACACTTTCTCCTTCTCCTTCTCCTGTCAAGATCAGGAAATGGCCAGGTGTGGTAGGGCATATCTAGTAACCCAGCCTTGAGGAGCCTGAGGAAATAGGATCACAGGTTCTAGGCCAGCCTGGGCTCCAAAACAAAATGCTGAATCCTATCCAAAAAGGGAGAGAAAGAGGGAGGGAGGGAAAGAGAGAAGGAGGGGGAGGGAGAGAGAAAAGAAGAGGAGGTGGAGGAGGAGGAAGTAGGGAGGAGGAGGAGGAGAGGGAAGAGAAGGCAAGGAAGAAAGGGACTATTCTCAGTGACACAAAGCAGTCAAGTTTGGGTTGATTCTAAAGGCCCAAGAGATTGTTATTAGGATCCAAGTATAATATATTTGCTATCTATCTATCTATCTATCTATCTATCTATCTATCTATTTATCTATTATTTTAGGCAGAGTTTCACTGTGGGAGACCTGGCTAGCCTGGAACTCACTATGTAGACCAGTCTAGTGTCAAACTCACAGAGATCCACCTGCTTCTGCCTCAAGAGTGCTGGAGTGAAGGGTGCGCACCACTATACCTGACCTGTGTAACATTATTTATAAAGTCCTAACTACTTCATTAAGTACTCAGAACCACTCCATTTTGAATTGGATGTGGACAGCCACACACACACGAGCATAGAGTGTTTCTGCAGGGGTACATAGGGGACAGCATCCATGGTTGCGTCTGAAAAGAACTGAGAATAAAGGATAAGCATCATGATGGAATGCACCTTTCTCCTCTGTAACCTTTTTTGTCATCTGCATTTTTCTACCACTAGAATGTGATCTTTTCAGAGTGTACTGCATTCTCTATTAGTTGCTTTGGCTTGTTATTTCTTAGCACATTTTTTTAAAGTAGTCCCCTCCCCTATAAGTAGTTATTATCCTTATTTCACAGACAGGTGGCAGAACATAGGTCTTTGTAGCCACTAAGTTCATTTTTGCTGTTTTTGAGACAGGGTCTGTAATAGCCAGGCATAATGGTGCATGCTTTTAATACCAGTACTTGAGAGGCAGAGGCAAGCAGATCTCTGAATTCAAGGACAGTTTGGTCTACAAAACAAATTCCAGGACAGCCAGAGAGACACAGAGAAACCTTAATTTGAAAAATACACACACAGAGAAAAAGAGAGGTGGGGAGACAGACAGACAGAGACAGAGAGACAGAATAAGTGTGTATGTCTCTTGTCTAGACTGGCCTTGAGCTGTCTGTGAGGCTGAGGATATCCTTGGACCTCCTGTCTCCACCTCTCAAGTGTGGGGTTTGCAGGTGTATGTGCTTATATTCCACAGATACCTCTGTTCTTCCTTTTTGATCTTAGATTTAACTAGTAATAGTTTTCTCAGAATATTTGAAAATGGAGAAGAGAGAAAAATGAAGAAAATAATGTTTTAAAAATATTTTAAATTCAAATGTGCATGTGTTTACATTAGCATGTGGGCATCAGAGGACAACCTGTGGAAGTTGATTGTCTCCTTCCACCATGTGAGTCCCCAGAATGCAATTCAGATTACTGGGTTTGGGGGTCCAGCCTCGGCTCAGGTTCAGATCCTGACATGGAGAACGGGCGTCAAGCACAAGGAAAACTTCTGACCACCAAATGGATTGTACTCAAGGAGCCCCGAATAGCTCAGGCCATCTTTATTTATACTTAAACAGTTTTCTTCTTACCAGGGTTACATGAACAGCCTTTATTATTGGCTTCCATTTTTGACTTCAAGAAATACATCACAATTTAAGGAATACATCGTGATCATTATGAAAGTCCCCATTGTTCCCCTTTATGCTTCCCCAAATGCACTTTCCCACCCTCTACATAACCTTATTCTGGATAGAGTTCAGTATTTTTTGCAGGTTTAACTAAATGTCCAAACAGACACATCCTGCTCTCCTAGCACTTATGCCAGCTGGTACCTACTTGGGGTTACAAAGTTAAAAAGTAATAGACATGGACACAATGCTTTAAGGATAACAATATTCAAACCCAGAGAATTCTTTCATGTCTGCAAGGTATGCTTTTATGCTGTTTCTTTTTATATATATGAGAGGGTCCCATGTCTCAATCTCTCTGTGAAAGGCAGACTTTGACAAAGCACTCTTTTGTCTCACTATACCATACTTCTTCCACCAATATAAGCTCCTAGGTATGGTAAAGACCGATCTATCCATCCCACATTTTGCATTGTAGTTTTTCTTCTTGGAGAATACTAAATTCTGCTAATGATTCTATGCTTGGTGTCCAGGGACCTTACAGTTGGCACTATGTATATTCCTGAAGCCTTTTCCCTATTCTGTGTATGCATGTCCAGAACTGTGAGACAGGATTAATATTCCAAGTGTTTTTTTCTCAAGTGTATCTAACTGTCTCTATTGAGTCAGGAAAGTTCCCAAGATTGGGAGTTGTAGTTAGTAACTCCAGATAAGAGATTTGAGAAACATTAGCCACCTGTTGAATCTTAGGGGGATTTTTTTTTTCTTTTTTGGTTTTTTTGAGACAGGGTTTCTCTGTGTTACAGCCCTAGCTGTCCTGGAACTCTGAAGACCACGCTGGCTTCAAACTCACAGAGATCCCCCTGCCTCTGCTTCCCAAGTGCTGGGATTAAAGGCATGTTCCTCCACCACCTGGAGAGGGGGAAATATTTGAGAAAGATCAGAGTTTCCAGGGAAAATTACAGCTATTGCATGTGTGGCTAACAAAGTAAAACTAAAAACAACCCAAAGACTCACCAATAAAACTAGAGAGAAAAGAGCCTGCAAGTTGCAGGAATTTTGCAAATTCCTACTGGTTCTTGTCAAGTGAGAGTCTATTTCCACAGGCACCTTGCTCCAAGACAGGTAGTCATATGCTGAACTGAGACTAGGCTGCATGGCTCCCAATGGTTGAACTATCTTACCAGTCAGTCCCAATAACCTGTTTTGTTCTTGCAGAACTTGAGAACTCAAGGCTGGGAAGATGGTTCAGTCAGCAAAGTGGTTGCAGCTCAAATATGATCACCTAAGCTCCATCTCAGCACTCATGTAATAGCAGGGCATGAAGCCAACAATCCCCCAACACCCATTCACACTAAAGGAATAAGTGAATGAATAAACAAACAAGTAAATAAATAGATCAAAACTATTAAACAACTGAGAATTTAGTCAAAGGTTCTGAAAAGGTTAAGGGTTAGAATTCAGGCCTGGCATGGAGAGTCATGGTTTGCCTTCCCCTCCTCCTTTGCTTTCCCCAAGATAAGAATGTTACTTGGGCCGGGCATTGGTGGCGCACGCCTTTAATCCCAGCACTCGGGAGGCAGAGGCAGGTGGATCTCTGTGAGTTCGAGACCAGCCTGGTCTACAAGAGCTAGTTCCAGGACAGCCTCCAAAGCCACAGAGAAACCCTGTCTAGAAAAACCAAAAAAAAAAAAAAAAAAAAATGTTACTTGGAGGGCTGGAGAGATGGCCCAGTAGTTAGAAGCACTAGCTGCTCTTCCAAAGGATGTGGGTTTAATTCCTGGTACCCACATGGCAGCTCACAACTGTTTGTAACCTTAGTTCCAGGGGATCTGACACCTTCATATTGATATACATGCAGGCAAAACACCAATATGCATAAAATAAATATAGACAAACCATTAATTTTTTTAAAAATTTACTTAGAAGAATCACATTTCTTCCACAAAACACATGATCCGGGCATCTTTGTTTTTCCAGTTAGGGAAAACACATTTTAGATTTCCCTAAGGAAAGAAAACAATTCCTTATCAGTCAGTGCAGTCTGCCTGTCTATCAGCCTGCAGATCTTTGCTCTTTCCTTAGATCGTCTTAGTTGTCATTCCTGTTAGTCACAAAAGCCACACTGATGGAGTCCACATAAACCTCAGTCCTGTAACTGCAGCTCTGCCATCCTGCTTGGTTTATACATCAGCAAACACTGAATGACTGCTTCCCACCAGACATGGAAAAGAAACTCAGATGCGCAAAACCCTTTTCTTGATTCAATCACAACTGAATGAGATTAACAAGGAGAACATAAACACAAAATATATTTCCTTGGGTTTACATAGCAGGAAGAATGTGCCAGAAAAGTTGGTGGTATTTGAATCTGAAAGATAAGCAGGCTAAATAAGGGACGAGAGGCATTCCAGCCCCACAAAACAAACGGTCTGTTGGCATGCATGGAAACATGGGGATCTCCCAGGCATGTTTCTGGACACAGCTGTTCCTAGCTGCTTCACCCAAGCGCCTCCACTGGGCCCAGACATGTGCTGCTGTTCTGCCACTCAGCAGAGGCTTTCCTGAAAAGAGTCAAAGCTACCAGTGAAACATCCATCAGTCTCTCCATTCTATCCAAACTCCTCAGAGCTGTCTTCTAAACAGAGAATCTTAAGCTTCCGTGTCAGACACTGTGCCCAGCACAGAGAAACCAAAGAGAGGTAAGGCACAGCTCCTACTCTGAAGAGCTAGCTCATACTCTTGGGAGAAGAGAGAGAAAAGAAGGAGAGAACTAAACACTATATCTTATATTTGTGTTTATTCATGCTATCCTCTTACCTTAAAATACCAGTACTGTGGGGGAAGACGTGGGCACAGGCCTGTAATCCCAGAATTTGAGAGATGGCGGCAAGGTCTAGCAATCTTCCTGCCTCAGCATGCAACTAATTGGGGCTATATATTGGTGCACACCACTATATCTATATTGAGCCCATTGCCTATGTCTGGCTTCTTCCTGGTTATGGTGTATTTCTGACCTACAAAATGCTACCAAATTAATCTTACTAATGTGAAATGCACATTCGAGCCTTTGGCTCAAAACTCTAATGGCTCTGTAGTGCTTTTGAAATTTGACCAGATTCAGCCTAAGGGTTTCAAAATCACCAGCACACTGCTGTCCTAATGTCCTTCCTACTTGGTCCATTTCACACAGCTGAGGACCAGCAGCTTGCTCCATTTCCCTGTCATT